TTGCCGACGCTTATCTCCTCTTTGCGTACACCTGTTTATCGTGCTCTCACATTATTAGCTTATAACTCTGTCACATCGTCCAGCGATGTGGCAGACAAAACAGGACGCGCGCACAGCCTTCTAATTTTCGACCTACGGTCTTTGTCCATTGGATTTGCCACGATCCATTTTAAGGTCAAGGTTCCGGGGAAAAGCTTTTACTTTTTAACCTTACCTTAGTATCCAGACCTCCTAGCTTAATAAAAGCTTTGTTGACTCCAGACAAATAACCAATGGTGATAGAGTCAATATCAAACTTGATTGTTAAAATGAGCTGATAACCTGTGCATGTCTCGAAAAGAACGCAAACATCTTGGTCGACTTTGTGTACGCCTCACACATCCTTCATGTAAGTCTAGTTTAGATTTGCTCAATTTACTCTTTCATTTGTTTCAGTGGTTAATATACTTGTGATCAATTCGCGTGTCTATCAGTGGCATAAGTAAACAGTGACATAGTTCCATCAAAACTTGTGTTAATTTAAAAGCAATCATTTGAAGGAATAAACGAGAGAGGAACAAAAATGTACTTGTCAACAGAGATTATCTTTGCAAATAAATGCGATAAACTTGCTGTAAACTCTCCCCCGTCCTACAAAATGCACAAAGCACCCTTAGTAACAAGACCAGTACCCATCCCCACCCCCCACCCCCCACAAAAACAGACTGTGAATGAGTACGTACATACGTTCTGTTTACCTGTTTTTGGGGCCGCCGTCCTGGGACTCACACAGGCAGTAAACTACAAGTTCCAGGCTCAAGAGTGTGAGTCCCAGTTCTATGAACATGTGTCCGGTACCCTTAGGGAAAAATAGCATGTAGACACAAGTTGGCCATTTGGTGTTCTTGAAGATCAGCATGTCGAGGGAGCGCAGTATTTTGAAAATTTCTGCCCTGGTACTCCTTGCTTATTCTGTTAGACTTCTTAGTTTTCGTACAGGTTTTACATACATGAAATTGCCATCCCTATTGTACACTAGCCATAATGTACTTTCTCAGCCACGGCTCGTTAAGTTTTCGTCCTTTGGAACTGGAAGGAGTGACGTCTGCGTTAGTTAATTTATCGTGGCAAAGACCAACCCGAAAGCCTTAG